TCACTACAGTCAGAGCCATTATGTGTTATTTGTTTTTCCGCCAATGGGTACCTGCCAGTTGGAACAGTTAAACTACAAAGACTGTGCTACCTGCTTTGTTCTTTTGATCATCAGCATGAGGATGCTTACCAATACTTCATCTATGTGCAGGAATATGTACTGTTTCAGTCACCAATCTGGTAATTTAGAGCATCTAATGAAGGTATGTATTTTGTTGATAAAGATTGAGTTGGTACTGAATTAGGGCTTTATAATGCTATACGTGTTGCATATCTGGAATCAAAATAAATATTGACAATTTTGTTAGTTGTGGTATTTATCTTGGTGGAGATTGAGATGGTACGGAACGAGGGCTTTAGATGTAAATACTTGTTGCACATCTGGAATCACAGTAATCAAGATCTAGTGATGATTTTGAAAAGACAACTGACATGATCTAGTGATGATTTTTCCTTGGTTGAGTTAAATTGGTGTTTTCAAACTTCATTGAGACATGGATCTTCTAGTGTTTTTAACCAGTTTTGGTTGCTTCACTGATCGAGATCTGATCGCTCAAAGTGTTGCAAACATCTTATTTGATTCCTTCTGCTTGGCATGAAACCCTATATTCCAAGGTCGACATTGATTAAGTTGCATACCTTTTTACAAATATGGTGTGAAGGAGAAATCCAGTGTATGTTCGCTTAGATAAATATCAGTTCACTAGTTGATGACCCTTTCTATGCCCGTCTCATTTAAAAGACTAATAAAGGTATCTGGTGACATCTTTGTTCTATATACCTGTAAGCATACATGACATCTTTCTGAAGGTCTATTCGTCCTAAACATGGCAAATTTAAGACGGTCTGTTTTGGTCCCTGAATGGCTCGTATGTTAAAATGAGTGATAGGATAATTGCAATTCTTGCCACATTCTAATTCCAGCTATTCTGGTCACGAGACCTGCACGATTCACATCCGTAGGTGTGTGCATGTGTGGACGTCTGGGATTGCGCTGTTGGTTGTTTGCCAAGATCTGGCTGCACATGGATAACGCTCTCTATTACGTGTTTACAAAATGCTCTTTTGATGGTGGTTTGATTAAAACTAAAATTGCATACATGAATGCCGAAGAGTTATAAAGTTCTCTCTTGTGATGTGCAGGTCCACGAAAAGGAGGTAATTGGCATCAGCCATCATCCTCACAGGAATATTGTCGCTACATACGGCGAAGACTGCACACTGAAGTTATGGAAGCCTTGAAGCTCTGTTGACCTGTATGTACTGTATGTAATTTTGTTTCTGGGTGAAGTTTGGATGTTGAGATGCATATTTGGGTGGTATTTGAGAAACGGAATGTGGGCTGCATTGTATGCAAGTGTGGTGTCTGCAAAAACTCACTAAGACGTAGAGCCGATTAGGGCATTGGATTCGAACATTTACCTCGTCGATCAATCATGCTTGGAGATATTGTATAGCTTTTTACTAAGCAATGTCAGTAATTTTGATTCATAACGTGTACCTCTAGATTCTCTGTGCAACTGCCATTGATTCAACGCCAAGGGAGCTTGAGCTGCCGTTTCTTCATATCGTTCTTCAGCTTAAATTAGAGACAGTGGGAGATCGTGATTCATGAGAGGACGGAGGGCGGAGTGGCCCAGAGAGGGTGAGAGGGCGGAAGGCAGAATCGCAGTGGCGGAGTGGCAGAGGTTAGAGGGCGGGGAGAGAGAATAGGGCAGAGTGAGTCGGCAGAGTAAGAGGGAATAAACTATAAACTCTCTCAGTATCTCAGATAGGGGTTTGAAGATTAAGAAATTAACCCTCTTTAATGGGTGATTATGGGTTTCGTGGGTTCACCCAAAATCAACAGGTTGCTAACGGGTTCTCTCGTTATGACTCCAGCACCTTAAGGCTTCACTTGTTAATTGAAATTTTGTGAGCAAATTGAGTCGCCTTAACGGCTTAGGTACATTTTGCGAGCATATGTAAAATGCTCAAATATGAAGGAAAATCACCACCCGTTAATTAATCCAGCCGATTAAGTCTTCGTCCGTTAATAGAAATTTTGCGAGCAAATTGAATCGTGTTAATTTACGGGCTCTATTCCTAGATTGGAAGCTTGGTTTAGGTTAAAGTATAGATGGATAGTAACGTGAGTTGTAGTAGGGGAACAACAAAGTTCATGTTGACCGTGCAGTCAAATGACATACATGAAGAAAGAAACGTCAACTTTATTCTCCCCAAGAGAATCAAATTTTTTTTCTTTGTTTCTTGGGATAAAAGTCAGGTACCGTTTGGTATGTGGGACGGGACAGAACATAATGGGACAAAGCGTTCCGTCCCACGTTTGGTGCGCCTAAAACGGGTGGAACAAGCTGTTCCACGGGACGAGTTTTGGGTGAATTTTCGTTCCACCTCACCCTCCTGGAACGACTCATTCCACATCCGTGGAACACAAAATTATAACCTCTCCGTCTCCTTCTTCTTCCTCCTTGTTTCCATCCGAGGGCATCTTTGCTCCCGCTCCATTCCGTTCCATCCTGTCCCGTCCCGTCCCGTCCCGTCTGCATACCAAACGATACCTCAAAGCACAGATGAATGCAGCCCTGCCCTGCCCTGCATGCATAACCACCAATTGTCCCACAACAAACTTGGAGTTAGGAGTTGCATGGGAACCTGCCAACCTCTGAATCCGCTTTCAACACCACCAATCGATCAGCTCTCCTTTCCTCTCCCTTTTAAGACTCACACACAGAGCTTAGTTGTGAAACTATTTAATCTAGTGCGGTTGAAACACTCAGAATATCGGATACCCTAGAGCACTCCAAAAAAAAATCCAACTTAATTCCAAGTTTCTTTGAAAAATAAAGTAAAATAAGGAGAGAGGATTCTTGCCAGATCCTCTTTGTGAGGATCTTGGGAATCCTCCAATCACATCCGTTCATCGTACATTATGCGGTCAATTTTTGTTAAGTACTGTTTATATTCAATTTTAAATAAAAAAATTTACAATAATTTTTTTACCACACAATCAGGTGATTGGAGGATCCAGCGAGGATCGTTGTATTTCTTGTGTGACTGCGTACGTCTTGGTTGGTCCTTTGCTTTGTGCGCTAGGTTTTAGGAGTCTTGCATTCCGCAAGTGCTAGTGCACTAGCTCAGTTTAGAAAAATAGTTTTACATTGAAGAGTAATGCTAGGGAGATCACATAATACGATGGTATTATATTAGTATATCATCTAAAGTGACAAATGATTTATAATATTAACTTTCAAACAGATAAATTTATTAGTTGACGAAGGATAATACACATCACTTGGCATATCAGTACACTAATATGATACAAATATAGGCATCCCTAACATTTTTCATTTCGAAAGATTTGACGTGTTAGTGGGAGATTTTAAACTTTAATATGAAAATATTTTAGAATCAAGAACTGTTATTGGCATTCTAAAAATCTCATTTTGCGTTCCTCATAAGTTTATTTTTATTTCGGATTGCCAATAACGATTCCTTGTCATTTGCATCCTCAGTTTTACGTCTTCAAAGTAAAATACTCTAATCGAACGCAATGAACGTAATTTGCTGTACAAAGAGAATTCGTGCTGTCTTGAACTTAAGCAAGAACTTACGTGCACTACAATACATAATTAATATCTAACCTACCAATTTATAAGACGGAGATATCATCGTAACGATGGCAAGCTCAAATCCTTAAGCTTAATTAGTTAAAAAGTTGTTAACATGTTATCAAATATCAATCCGGTGAGTACAAGATATATATCAGAATAGTAACAAAAAAATAACGCCCAAACTACTACCTTAACTTAGCCAATTATTTACGTGTTAATTTGTGCACCACCTGTCACTTAGTCTTACGATCTAGTGGTATTCGTCTTTACTTGTAAGTGAAATGTCTTATGTTTGATTTTCGTCAAATGCGAATTTGAACCAAATTATTGCTAATCTATTGTGAGGCGAAACTCACCCTCTCTCATTCAGTGTAGATAATATCGCTTGTTAAAAAAATAAAATTAAATAAAAAAATTTGTGCACCACCTAATTAGGCTTGGATATTAATTCGTTGCATAGAAATGGCTATCAAATTATGAGAAATGTTAATGAAAATTTCTCAAAAGTGGGACTCTTTATAACTCTTTGCTGTCTCATAGTTTTGGTGCAATGTTTTATAATGTTAGCACGAGAATTAACGTTACATTGTGAGGTGACAAAGAGCCCATAAAAAATCCCACTTTGAGAGAGTCTCGTTAGCATTTCTCTCAAATTATGTGAGAGAGAGAGGTAGAAAATTTTCAAGAATTTAGAACAGGGTTAGGATATTAAATTTGGAAAATGAGAAGGATGCTTGGGAGAGTAAATTTGTATTTAATCACTGCAGACGTGCCATGCCTATTAAATCATCACTGCATGCTATCTCCTCTTGCAAATTCAACACCACAATCATCTCTCGAGATCTCTCTGTGTTCCCTACATTACCATCTCAACATCAATATTCAGTCATTGATGGCTAGACACCTTCTAAGTAGCTTGGTGCCAAGACGTGAACTCATCATCACCATCACCATCAGCAGCTGACGGTGGCGGTCGGAGGAGATCCTCGTCAGAAACAGTGCCAGCCATGTTTGTATTTGGAGACTCACTGAAAATGGCAATAACAACGACCTTCCGTCATTTGCCAAGGCCAACTATTTCCCTTATGGCATTGATTTCAATGGCGGTCCTACTGGTCGTTTTTCCAATGGTTACACCATGGTTGATGAAATAGATCTCTCTCTCTCTCTCTTAATGTTATGTTTTGCTATGATCAGTTCAGCATATTAAGATTGACATATATTTCAGTCAAAAAGTGTATTTATTTTTTGCTTTTATTTTATTTAAGGTAGAGTTTACTTGATTTACTTAAAATAGACCAATTGGGTTGGTACAAAGCTCTATTTTTTGCATAAGTTTGTTATGTGTAAATATTTACTAATATAGAATTGACCAATTGGGTTGCTCTATGTTCTTAATCTCTGAAATAATTTAGTAATCTACTCGTTAATTACACATAAATTAAAATGATAAGAGAGCCAAGCTTATAATTTATGTATATTATGAGAAATAACATGAATCGTCCCATGTATGTGATCCAATATCCTAATGGACAAGGTGGTATGTTTTTATATATCCATACTTTCTGAGTTTGAAACTTCCTTACATTCCTCATTAGGGCATAAACCAGGCAGTATTTCCATTATATGAAAAACAACTTAAACATTATTGTCATTTTTCTATCATTTAAAAAAAAAAAAAAATTTGTTCCTCCTGCAGCTGACCTGCTAGTACTTCCCTTGATTCCTGCTCACTCTGAAGCTTCTGGAGATCAAATGCTTCATGGAGTCAACTATGCATCTGCAGCTGCTGGAATCTTTGATGCCACTGGCAGAAACTTTGTAATTAATTAACCATTTCATGCTTCATAGTTTATTAATTACCTAACTCAATATTTATTTATTTATCTTAAACTTTGCATGGATTTAGCAGAACCATAAATTTGCATGCAATTGTTTCACAGAAAATCTTAAATTTGTAGCTAAAGGACTTGAATTATTTTGTCACAATTGTTTTCTGCGGGTGGGAAGAATACCTTTTGGTCAACAAATAAGGAACTTTCAGAATACACTTGATCAGATAACAGACAATCTTGGTGCCGATGATGCTGCTCGATCGATTGCCAAGTGCATCTTCTTCGTCGGAATGGGCAGCAATGACTACCTAAATAATTACCTTATGCCCAACTATCCAACTATGAATCATTACAATGCCCAACAATATGCTGATCTCTTGGCTCAAGAATATACACGGCAGCTCACTGTAAGAACTTCACCTCCTAAACTAGAACCTCCATATGGTTAGATTGTATGACAAACTTACATTGCGTATTTGAAGCGTTATCAATCATATATAGCTGGTACAAGTTAGGGGCACTCCGCCTACTGTAAATTGGTTTTGCGTTGGATACTCTAACTTTATTAACATCACATGCATAAACTTCTCCTACAATTACCTAAGCATCCTACTAATATATGTGATACGTTAGAGAGACTTTACAATCTGGGTGCCCGAAAATTTGTTATTGCTGGATTAGGGAGACTGGGTTGCATTCCAAGTATTTTAGCCCGAAATCCAAGTGGAACCTGCTCAGACGAAGTTAATTGCCTTGTTCTACCTTTTAATGCTAATGTGAAGACAATGATCAACAATCAAAATACCAACTTACCTGGTTCGAAGTTCATTTACATTGACATTGCTCGTATGTTCGAAGACATGCTTCTCGATCCTAGAACATATGGTATGCCTTGCTACTATTTACCTTCGGGTCATTCCTTACTGAAATTGAAGTTCAATTATATTAGCGATTACAATATTTTGTGAAATTTTGTTTGGAGGATTCATTGTTGCAAACCGTGGATGCTGCGGTCTTGGGCGTAACAGAGGCCAAGTTACATTTCTTCCTCTCCAAACATCATGCCGAAATCGAGACCAATATATCTTCTGGGATGCATTCCACCCGACCGCAGCAGTGAACATCATAATTGGGAGGAAAGCTTTCACCGGGGACCGTACGGAGGTTTATCCCATGAACATACAGCAGCTTGCCACTCTTGACATCGAAAGGAACCAGTAGAAAATGTGGTCGTTTAAGTTTACAGAAAAATGTTACACGTCAAAGAGTTGATGCATGTACTTCTAATACCACTATTGGTTTAAAACGTTAGGTAGTTGTTTTGGAACTGGCTAGTAGTGGTAGATTATCCTTCTCCTCTCATTTATTATACATTTATCCTTTTTTTTTGTTTTTCATTTTTTGTTTCACCTTTCATGGAGATTTGTTAGATTTCTTACCATGTCCTTTTGAGATCAATAAAATAGTCAATGGGCCCTAGGGTTAGTCTAACAAATATAATTTCAGGTTTTAACAAATAACCTTCTCAAAATTCTCCTCATTGTTAAAAAGCACTTAAAGCACGATTTTCAACGAGAAAAATAAAAATTATGAATCCGATTGTTATTGCACTTAGACATTAACAATTGACAACGATGATTTGTAAAGAGTTCCGCACCAACTTTAGCAAGAGGGCTACACTAATTATTAATTTGATTGAACATGAACATAGTTAATCTTCTAGACTACATTTATTGAATATATCGAAGTTGTAAAAGATAATTCAAGGAATCCTTCCTAGCTTCAGAAGATAATTCAATTATATATTTCCGCTAATGGTGATATAGCCACATGAATTGACAACACTTTCACATTATTTAATTAGCAATCAGCTGGAAAGCATCAAAGAAATTGATAATTCATGAAATTAATCAGTGATGTGGTTGTTGCATGGATGAAGTTCCAAAAGCCTTATATTGGCTTGGCTTTCAAAGCATTGCCAGTTGTTGAATATTGATTGGGTAAGCATATGATTGTTGATTGGAACCACTGAATGATGCCTTGCCCAGCAAAATGTTTGCTACCTCTGTTGGATGGAAGGCATCCCAAAACAAGTACTTTGTGCGATCCGTACAAGCTTGCTGAAGAGGTAGACAAGTTATCTGCCCATTGTTCTTTCCTACTCCACAACAACCCTTATCCATCACTTCAAACCCTGCACCATTGTTTAAAAATTGCAGCAGCGTTAATCTCCACATAGGCAATTTGACCGAATACATTACTGCTTATGAATGAATGGTTCCGCTACTAATACACGAAAACCTTTTTTCGTAAAAACTAACACTATCGGGTTGTGCATGTGATTAAGTTGGGGCAATACTGGTGTGTTAGTAGTGGTCAGTTGGCCAGACTTTGAAATCTTGACACATGCAGCATAAATTTTTGATATGGTGTGAAGCGAAAGAGATGGGATTTTATAGTAGAGAAGATATTACCAGTAGCAGTGGCATTTTGAAACAGATCAAAGGTGCTTTGATAAGCATCGAGGTAGACAAATTTGGCCCCACGCAATTGACCACCATTGAAGTTGTCAACCAGTTTTTTGAGGCCTGAGTTGAAAATAAGGATAGCCTTGTTGATGTTTTCATTGCAGCGGCTGCTGTTGCTATTGAACCTTGCTAGTTGATATGGTATGCAACCGATTTGGCCAACAGCAGTTACAATCACCTTCCGAGCTCCCAGTGAATATAATTGCTGTAACCAAAAGAATACATAACAACAATAGTTTATAAGTTTAGTATTAAACTTGTTTTCTACGTAAACGTAGGTCATTGAAATTAAGTTTTATCATATCAGTTTGTGATTAGGGTTTAGGCGCATTAGTTAAATGCTACTCTCTTTCTTGGTGTCCAAGTTAAAATGTAGGACAATTATGTAGGAAGCTATAGGAACACTGTAGATAGAAAACGGATCCACCAGGTTAATTACCGTGAGTTGGCGCGAGTAGTCCTGAAGGAGTACAGCAGCATACGCTTGCGTGGTGTAATTGGAGCTAGATGTATAGAAGCTGGGCATAAAATAGTTGTTAAGATAGTCATTACTTCCCATCCCAGAATAGAAGATGCATCTGCTAAGATAGGTGTTGAGTGCAATGGCATCTCCTCTAAAGAGTCTTCTCATTTCTAGCACTGCATTCCCAAAGTTTGCAACTTGTTGGTTCATGGACATGTGAGCACCCTGCAAAATCTCTCTCTCAGTTTATCATTCATAATTTTGCGTTTGACAATTTGTAAGGTTAGTAAAAAAGTGTTCTTACTAGATTGTCTCCCGTTTCATCTCGGATACCAGCTGCACCGGATGCAAAATTGGCTCCCCTCAGCAGTGCAGCTCCGCGTGTTCTTGAATAGGGCGGAATATAAGTTGGAAATCCAAGAAGCTGAGCTGCAAGTGCAATTGCCACCGGAATATATAAACATACATTAGCTTATAGTTTGATGTAAACTAAACGAAGTACGTACGTATAGTAGTTTGTTATATACGAATGAATATATATATATATGTATGTATGTATGTATATTACCTAGGACATCAACATAGGTTCTACCATTGGTGAAGCGGCCAGTGACACCAAGAGGGAAGTCGATGCCATAAGGTCTATAATTTGCCCTAGAAAGTGTTATTATCTCATTGTTGTTCCCATTGTCAACCAACGAGTCACCAAAAATGAAGAAACCAGGCACTTGGGCTGTCGACTGCGGCTGCGACCAAACTCTGCCACTCAAGCCCTGCAGCCACACAACTACTATAACTATTGCAAACAAACCCAAGTCGCAGAATTTTCTAGCCCTGCTCATGTTTTGATATATCAGTTGGAACCCTAACTTCTGAGATACTAATTATACAATTGGTGCATGCAGTTTTGTATATATAGAGAGTCATTTTTTGGGGGGACTTTTGACTTTTTGGTTTGGCTATTATGCAATTCATGCAATATACGGTTCGTGGTTGTGAGAGTGAGCAACTTCGAGCTGGAACAAGTAAGGAAGGATCAACTTTTAGTTGGGGTCATGTTTATGCTTCTATTTTTAACTCTGAATCAGCGGTGATGATCATGATCATGGTCACTAGTATCTCGTGACCGATCGGTTGCTTGCTAACAATCCATCGTGGCAACTTCATCTTGTTCGATTTTTATTCTTGAATTTGACCTATGGCCATAAAGAGTGATGTTATTTAGATGTACCAACAATATTGACAATATACAAGACTGTTGATTATTTTTTCGAACTATTTTTACACGACAAACAAATACTTTTCTCCCGTTAGATTTTAGAGAATTTCATATGAATTTTTGTTAAGTGGTGTAAATGTAATTGTTCTGGATGATGAAGAACTTTTTGAAGCACAAGTTGACGGTGTGGAACAAGATGAGAGTTCCAAATATATTAGTGCCTAAATTCATGGACGTGGTGAGATAGAAAGACAAGTTTGTCCTTAAAAATGTGTCACGTGTAGCTCACATGATACCACTTAACGAACTCTCAAATCTAATGGGAAGGGGGTATTAAGTTGTCTTTTAATCTCCATGAAAAATAGTTCGGATGGTGGGGATGAGGAACTTCGGTGGTATTTGGTAGTTTATTCTCGACTGTTAAAAAACTACTCACTACCAAAATAAAAGATGATTGAATCTCTACCTAACATGGTAATTAATTCCCTTAATGTTGAATGATTGTAATGATAATCAATTGGTTAAACCAATTATATGTTATGTTAATATAACTTATTATGATGATCTTTAAATAAGAATATAGACGATTTGGACCATTGAACGATGTTTCAAAGTCGCTCCAATCATCTTTAACAAACGACAGATTCTCCAATGTGATATCAAGTTGTATATATGAAGCAACACTTGTACTTTAAATGGAACCCAACAAAAGGATATTGCATGAGTAGTGTGACTCCTTATATATACAAAAGGATACTGTGCATCAAAAACTAAAATGCCTTGTCGCTGTACTACAATGTCGGGCCCTTTTTTTGCTTGAAATTTACTTGTAAAAAGCAGATGATCAATTGGAGACATGAGATGAGTGGCTAGGTTGGCAAACGGGTCGTGTTTGTTGTGTTTATGTCAAACCTATTATTCTAACGATTGTCCTGGCACCCAACTTATCTTAAAGGGCTTTAAAAATTAACGAGTTCAAGATTCTTGTGTTACCAGACTATTTAACATAAAACATTATCCCACATACATAATTGTATACAAGAGACTCTTATAAGAAGGATATCATCGATACTACAAGGAAATTCATACCATTAGTGTTGCCCTTTTTTTAACCAAACTGCTGCCATTTAAATTGTGAGATCAAATTAAACAGATTCAAAACTAGATTACAAAATGTTATAGCTCAACTCCAGATTCCTCGGCATGCATCAACGAACTTTACGAACTTTTTCTTCCTGTCCTAGCCCAAGTGACTTTTGCGCATTTGCAATACCTTCAGGATCTGCAATAAAAGAAACCAAATTAACTGGATGTTACAATGCCAAAGTTTTATCGTATGCACAAGTTTTCAATTAACCGGCTTCCGAGCAAAGAATCAGGCGTAATGTGACTCATAATTTGGGTCAGAAGTATTGTTCGCCAATCATGAGCACGAAAGTTTACCCTCCCGTATTATAATGAAACTGAACCACAATGAAAGAAAACTACTCTCACTTAGTTTAATAAGATATAAACAGTTTAACTCTACATATCACCCTTCTAGTACTAGTAGTATATAAGCATAGCTACAGCATTGCCACCTCATTGCCACTTCTGAACCAAATTATGAGTCGAACTTTTTGTTATCTATGCTTAATGCTTCATCAACTTGGGATCCACACGGTGAAGCAGATATACGTACCAAAGAACTGTGTGAAGATACGAGTGAAGAAGTTCAAGTTGCGGGAGACATTGTATGCCATGGCAGGCGGAAGAGGTTTCACGACAGTGTCAATGCTAAACACCCGTTGAAGGAACTGCAAACCGAGTTTGTCATGCTTAAACTTGTCAAAGAACAGATTCATAAGCAAACTAATAAGATATAAAGTAAAATGAGATGGAACCATGGAAATTATGTCTAAGAGATCCAACATGGAGAACCAAGAAAATATTGATGTAAGGGCAGATAATCTAAAACACGTAACTGAGCAGCTGCTAGATCATCAATTCAATACAGAATCCACAGTTTCTTGGACTGTATTTTAAATCACTGAAATAGACGAGAAACACTGTCAAAGTCATTTTTTGGCCTAATGTGGGGGAAGGAGAATTTGAACTGGGGACCTCTTCTACCAAAGTGGAGAGAAATGCCGCTAGACTAATAGCAAGTTTGTTCCAATGAGTCCAAGTTTTTTACCATCCTACTCATATTCTATTGCCATGGCTCGCTTCCAGATTTATCTAGAGCTTGTGCTCCTTCACTAATTGCAATTAAATAGGGAAAAAAACAACGTTTCTGAAACACTACCAGAAGGGTTTACTGAAATCTGGTTTCGGTATTCATGTTTCGGTTAATAGTCCCTACCACCCACTCTTAAGCATGTGTTGCAGCCTTGAAGCATGAGAGCCAACAAATTCAAACATAAGAGGACTCATTTCATGTGAATATATATATGTAAATAAAGTTCCTTAAACTGCCGATATTATTTTTTTGGGCTAAAACATCACTACTATTATTACTATATATCTATTATGACAGAATGACTTAATGAGCTATGAGCCAAGTCTTTAATAATGAGCTATGAGCTAAGTCTTTAATCTAGGAAAGATATGCAATCCTGCCCACTTCAAGATTTGCAACACGAGACTTGATTCTTCTAACAGACTTCCTGCATACCTGAAGCATTTGAAGCTTACAACTTCAAAATTTGTCAATAGCATTATGACTCTAATACGCACAAATCCTCATGCATTAGGTACAGAAAGATCGTAACACAACGGCTGGTTATAGAATAACCCAAGTCCTGAATTGTAAACTACTGACAACCAAATTTATGCACAAACAAAGCAGCAGGCGCGGACCTGGGCGTAGCCGCTACAATAGTGAATCCCCCGTGCACCCGAGTTTGAATGCCCCTCCCGTAGTTTAAATTAGACCAATTTAGGATATCACTCGATAAAAAGGCAACCCCAAGCCAAGGAGGCTCCCCATTTTGCGAGAGTGAGGGGAACGTCTATCGGACAAAGCCTTACTCTTGCTTTGTGAAGAGGGTGTTTACACGACTCTAACCCCGTTTCATTTTGATCACAAAGAAGCAACATTTCCATTGCGCCACCGCTCCCCTCAATATCTCTCGAATAAAAATAGGCAGCACACAATAATCACGCACAACCCAGAAAAGTAGAAAACTAAAAGGTTCCAGAAATTACTACAAAATTGAAAATTTCAGAATACCCAAACAATTTTCAAATTTTCAATTGAAATACAGTTTCTGTCCATAATTCAAAGCAGCTAAATAAACAAAACCAACCAAATTAACAGATAGTTTGAGTATAAATGAAATTGCGAATTGGGATAACTTGAAAGGACCTGAAAGTTGCGCTGGAAGCTGTATCGGAGCTCAGGGTCAATCTCAGTGAGAGAATCTTGATCGTCTTGGTCTTGAGAGCGCTTGGTTTTCTTGCGAGGGACGTGCATGGTTGGAGTCGACCCTGGCTGGCTCGTCACTTTTAGCTTCCCTTCGGGGAATTCAACTTCCGCCTCTTCTTCCACCCTCCACGGAGCTGATGACATCAATTGCTTCTTGGTCTTCGACATGGTCGGCACTCTCTCCGTATTGCCTTGGCGGACAGCCTGAGGGGAAGGAGAAGACTTTGATTAATGGAAGAGGGGAGGGAGCGTGTGTTTTGGATAGGGGTCGCGTTTGGGTGTGGGCGGACTTGTGCTCTCTGTTCGACCACCAAAAATACCTTATACTCGTTATAAATACTTTTAAAATGGTTAAAAACGAATTTTTTAATAAAAGTATTTTTTAAACTAATACTTAATAAACATACAAGTAAATTTTAAAAAAGTATTCAAAATGTTTCTTAAAAGAGGCACTAGATGCTTTTGAAACCCAAAACTACTCTCTAAAAGCATGAAGTGATTTCAAAACCAAAATTATTTTCTCTAAAAATGTTTTCTGTCGTGAACACTTATAAACAAGGCTACGTTCATGCTTGTGTAGGTAGTTTTCGTTTGATATATAATATAATCGGGTGGCTTACATTGTACATAAAACTTTTAAAGCTTTAAAGAGCTTAAAAGTGTCTAGATAAGATCATCTTCAAGAGATTTTTTAAAGGGAATTTTAACGAAAAACTTCTGGTACTGTTCATTTTAACGAAAAATCACATTTTTACATTAAAAAGTCGATCTGGTACTATCCACTTTACCCTTTATTTTGTACTTATCTTTAAAACTCAAAGTTTTCAAACCTTTTTTCATTAGTTTTCTTTTCTTTTCACTAGTTTAAAGAGCTAAACTCATAAAAGTCATCTTCAAGAGACTCTCTAACTTCAACTTTAAGCATAACTTAACAAAATTTAGTTAAATTTATGCTATATAGCAGTTTTGTTAAAGAAAAATAATATATAATAACTGTGACGTGCGCTTTAATTCGGCATATCGTGTGAGAGAAGTGAGTGAGCAAAACCTAAACACAAACACCAAATAGCCATGGCAAGATCCAGCAACTCAAGTGGTTCTACAAGTCTCCAAACTCCTATCTTCGGTGGAGAAAATTCCCATTTTTGGGTAGTGAAGATGAAAACCATCTTCATATCCTTTGGTCTATAGAGCTATGCACAATGAGGCTTTGAAGTTGGTGTCTAATTATCTAGGAAGACTTAATGAAATTGTTAATCAAATGAAATCGTTCCTCTTTGTTTGCGAACGCTGAAATTTTTATTTATTTTTAAGTACATCGATATTCTACATTATGGGGAGGGAGAGTTCGGCTAAGTCACACAATAAACAGCCTAATTTGGTATCGAATTCATCATCCATGAGATTCGAACCTAAAATCTCTTACTTTCAAACGAACGTTGAAACTTAGATGAAAAAAAACATACCACTTCCTTTTCTCTCTAAAATTCTTAAATTTATACAAAGTGTAGTTTTACAAAACCCCCTCACTTTTGACAATTGATTATTATTATTTTTTGGCTTTTTTAACAAGGACATTTTTGGAGTTTTAAGAAAATTTAACCATAAGGGCTTCTCCCTTGGTAATATAGGATAAATTTTTAGTTGTGACGAGAACACGAATGATAACCCACCATAACCTACCATTTTTAAGTTATTAACCTTTTAACACACATAACCTACCATTTATATAAGAACACGTGATGTATTAGCTCGTGTAACGGTCATACTGAAAAAATCCCTCGGTAATATAGATAGATAGATAACAGGAAAGGTTATGATAGAGAAAATCACACCAATAAAAAGGTTTAATCCTACTGCAGCTGCTCCTATGAATCAAAAGCCCAGCCCAAATAAGGCCCAATCGTTCTATATGAAAGCCCACCCAAAAACTCACATGCCCTGCTCCACTCAATAACAAAAATCAGAGACAAAAAATGTCCAACTTTTCAGCGTCTCTCTCTCTCTCTCAAGAGCTCGGCATGCTTGCTTTAACTCCATCAACAACATCTTTGGTGTGCGGCGGCGGCGGCGGCGGCGGAGGCGGAGGCGTCGGTTAAGGTACCACCGTCACCAATCCTCCGAGTTACATATTCAAAATGATGATAAAGCAACTTCTTAAACTGCACCCTAGCTGTAACTTCCCCTCCCATGGCTTCTGGGTTTACTCAAGGCACTTCTCTTCACTCCCATCTATCACTTCTACCTCTGATATCGAAACCCAATTGAGGTTTCACTGTGAGAAGTCCGACCCTCAGGTTTCCGAGGCGGTTTCGGGTTTCCTCCGCGCCGTCGATACGAACCGCTTGCCTTCTGGGGCAGCCTGTAATTTGCTCGTGCACACTCTCACAAAGTCGAAAAATTATGAATTGGCGTTTTCTGTTTATAGTAAGATGACCAATGTTGGTCTTCGTCCGAGTTTTATATCATTGAGTTGTTTAGTAGCTTGTTTTGTTAACTCCCATCACCCTGAATTCGCAGCCGGGGTGTTGGGATTGTTGTTAAAGCGTGGATTTCAGTTAAATGCGTTTGTTCTGAATCTTACATTGAAGGGTTTGTGCGCTAACGATGAGATTGACAAGGCGATTGAGTTGTTTCGTGTAACGGGAAGAAATTATGTAATCCCGGATATTGTTAGTTACAACATTCTTATAAACGGATTGTGCAGGGTGAAAAATTTGAAAGAAGCAACTGAGTTGCTGGTTGATATGGAGTTGTCTGGTTCTGAGCCGAATGTGACGACATACAGCACTTTGATCAATGGATTCTGCAAGGATGGTCGAGTGGATGAGGCGATGGGTTTGTTGGAGGAATTGAAGCAAAAGGGTTTGGAAGCGGATGTTGTAGTGTACAGTACCATTATAAGTGCTTTTTGTGATAAAGGGGGTTTCGATAGAGCCAAAGAAATTTTTGATGAGATGTTAAAGAAGGGTATTCCTCCGAATGTGGTTACATATAGTTGTTTCATAAATAATCTCTCCAAGATAGGGAAATGGAAAGAAGCCACCGCGATGTTAAATGATATGATAGAGTGTGGAGTTCTCCCTGATGTTATTACTTATACAGGCTTAATTGACGGGCTTTTCAAAAGTGGAAGGGCTACAAAAGCCATGGAGCTATTCAGTCTAATACTATCGAGGGGTGAAGAGCCTAACACTGTAACATACAATGTTATGATTGATGGACTGTGCAAGCAAGGCTTGGTGGATGAGGCTTTTAAGATTTTTGAAATGATGAAGGGTAAGGGTAAACAGCCTGATGTAATTACATACAACGTGTTACTGATGGGGCTTTCATGTCGCGGGAAGGTAGATGAGGCAATGGAACTTTTCAGTATGATATCAAAAGATGAGAACTTTCTTGAGCCAGATGTTATCACATATAACATGCTAATTATTGGACTCTGCAAGGAAGGCAATCTCGATAAAGCTAGGGATATTTATAATACTATGGTTGAAAGGGGCATTGCAGGTAACTTAGTTACTTATAATGCTTTGATAGGTGCATGTCTAGAGGAAGGATTTGTGGGTGAGGCCATCAAATTCTGGAGACGTGCACTTGACTTGGGATTGGTTCCGAATGAAATTACTTACGGTGTCTTGATCAGTGGATTTTGTAAGACTCATCTGCTTAGGTTTGCAAAAGGACTCTTTAGTCAAATGAGAGCTTCTGGGGTTAGTCCTACTTTGATTGACTACAACATTTTGATGCTATCCTTGTGCAAGGAGAGTAGTGTGGAGCAAGCTAGGATGCTATTTGAGGAGATGAGGCGTTCAAATTGTGTGCCAAATCTAGTCTCATTTAATACAATAATTGATGGAACTCTAAAAGCAGGAGATGTTGAATCTGCTAAGGGCTTGCTGCAGGACATGTGTAAAATGGATTTAACTCCTGATGCCTTTACCTTTTCCATATTAGTAAGCCGGTTCTCGAAACTTGGGCTTTTGGATGAGGCTAAAATGGTTCTCAAGAAGATGATTGATTGTGGTGTTGAACCTGATGCCTTTGTTTTCGATTCTTTACTAAAGGGCTATTGTTTAAAGGGTGAAACAGAAGAAATCATTAATTTGCTTCATCAGATGGCAGACAAGGGTGTCGTTCTCGACTCAGAAATAACTTCTACCATCTTGGAATGCCTATGTGAAATCTCAGACGATGTTGATGTGATGAAGATTCTCCCAACTTTTTCCCAAGAAACATCAAAAGGAGCAAGCATTACCTGCAATGAGCTGTTGGTGAAACTCAGTAACTCTCATCCAGAACTTAAATTGTCCCAAGAGAGACATCCAGTGCCCGGATAAATCTGCTGCTTGTTCTATCTTATGTAAGTCTTGTAGTCTTTGGTTGTCGAGTTCTGTAGAATGAACTGTTTATGCCACTTAGGGTTCAGTGCCTACGGATATCTTGTTTTTATTACATTCTAGATTTTCCTCCTCCTGTCTTGTCCGTAATATGCTATACAAAGTAACATATACTTGTTTATTCATCGTTGGTTTAGTTTTTTTATTTTTAAAGGATACGGTCTAGTAGATTTAGGGATACGGGTAGGGTTAGAAGGAGGAAAAAGAATGTCGGGGTTTTGGCATTAGGGCAGCATGCATCTTTGTAACCTCTAAATGTTGTTTTGGAGAGAGAAAATTCTCAAATTAGGTGATGTATAATGAACCTTGGTTGATGATTTCTTTTGATTATGTATGTGCAGGATTAGTTAGCTGGGAAACTAGAATTGGGAAATCCCGAGCAGATCTGCCACATCTTACAAGTAGGTATTCAAAAGGATTTCGTTCGATTCTTGGAACTGAAATATCAGGAATTGTTAATTTAGCTTTATCATAGTTAAACAACATAAATACAGTAAAGCTAATTAATTAATGATGTAAACAGAATCTGATAGATAAGAAACCCAACTTATAGGGTGTGAGTTAAACCTTATTAGCTAGGTGAGAATCGCTCCAATCCCCGTTAGGGCCTAGATTTCTAAAGGGAAATACTTCAAATAAGATACATCCAGCCTAACTAGACCTACAGGACTAGACCTTTTATAATAGTAAAGACTACCGATATTGCATTAATAATCCATTAGACAAACAATTTTTTTTCCATATTCCGGTGAGATTTAAATTTATTATTTCAAATTTCTGGTGTGCTGGAGTTGGAATTCGATTTTAAAGCTATAAAACACACATTTCAATCATTCTACCTCTCCCAATGGAGATGCTCTGATTACTTTGGTTGTTGGTGCCACTTGATTGCACTTTTTTGGTTGTTGCTGCCATTTGGCAAAAAGGAATGTCTGCATGATCATGTCAGTTGTGCGTCTTCCTGATTGTTCGCACGATGTGGAGCATAGATACTCTTGGAAAAAAAAATATGTTTTCTTTAATTTGTAGTGTATACACAGTTGAAGAACATTTTGTTTCTTCGCTTTTCCTAGGTTTTCTACTTAGTCAAACTTTATGCCAATTTCTTGACAAAAGAAAATGAGAGAGAAATTATGTGAATTTCAAATTGATGCTGCTTGCGAATGAGTTTGAGGGGCAATCCAATTAGAAATTAGGTATTTATCCTTCTGTTTGTCCAAATCCCTTTGTGAAACCATACGGTACGATTCTTGAGGATTTGCCCCGTGTGGTATATTATCAACCAAAGAGAAAATGGCACTTAGTTCTCTTATTGTAAACCCAGATTTAGTTATAATTCAATTAGTGTTGGATGCGATAAAGTGCCTTGATAGCCATCATAATTCACCAAGTGCCTTGCTGAAGTATACGTAAGTCTTGCTTGCATTTTGCAAATCTCTTGGACTTTTTCTTTTGATGCTTATGATACTCGATGCTCATTAACGAGAATAAAAGCCACATATTGTCACCAACATTTCATCATTGTTTCTTATCTACCCCCGGCTGGTACTCCTCTTTATAACTCAGTTGGAATTCAAGCTTTGGTGTGGTACGAAATTAAATCATGTGAACAAATTGACTACAATGGCTTCAAGAATTCACTATTCTGTTTCTGTGTGCTAAGAGTTTTCTGTCCATTTTTTTGTAATCATTTTCATATAATTCCCCTCCATTTCCTATGACTGCAGTTTTAACCGTGTAGCATGGAATTCATTGGTAAAACTGAAGCTGCAAGGTGTGATGAGATTCTGATAACGGTGTTATCTGGGACTCAAGCCATTGCTGGAGATCTCGATGGAGTCATCTTCCTTGTCCCTTCACGTTACAGAAGTTGTGAAATTTGTTTGAGGAAGCTCATGCAGGTTGCGCAATCCAGAATTTTGTTACGAAGTAAATACTAAGCATCCAGAGCGCCGGAACTCTTTGTGGTTATATGTTTTGGCTTATAAAATCCTGACTTCTATGATCAAGGTAGTTTTGGGCTCGATCTTCGGCCATGGTCTCTGTAGAATCGAGGGTGTCTTCCTTCTCCAGGTTGTTGCTGGATTGGAAAACTGCACCGAGTTGATTGTTGTTACGATTTTTTGTTTTCATTTATTTTAGGTGTAATTAGGCATATTACAAAGTTTTTTTTTTTTTTTTTTTTTTTTTTTTTTTTTGTAATTTCAAACTGGACGCCTCATCACTGAGGCCATAGAATTGCTGAGTTAAAGAGGTTGCTTCTTAATTCGTTCCTCGCCAGAAATTAGGGGATTTCCTAACACATTTGAGCGAATTAAGAAATATGTAGCGGAAATATAAAATTTTGCACGCAGAATTCCTCAAACTCTTCTCTCTTCGACGTTATTTCCCTCTCTCTCTAGTCTTCCAGATATTATTTTTACACCACCCGATTTTGGTTGGAACCTTTTGTTTTTTATTTATCCTTATTTAATGACACACCCCTTTTTAAATGACATATTTACCTTTACTTTTAACATCCTCGATGGAGATTCAAAAACTTAAGGATAGGGGTCAAAATTGGCCAATTTAAAATAGTTCATGAAGTAAATTAACTGACAGAATAGTTTTAGTAGTAAATTGACGCTCACATTCTAACGTAAAGCAACATTTTATCCTTTTTATTTTATTACAATCTATTTGATAAAATTACTTTAATCTACAAGGGAAGGATTTAAACTCCGGTTGCAAGCAGTACTGCACCAATCAAATAGACTAATTCGCGTCTCTTAAAATACAGACCTAATTGTTACGAAGACAAAAAATAGTAATAATAAGTACTTATTTTTATAGTCACTTACACACTCTTATTTAATTTGATCATTTTTTTCGTTTGGTTATTTATTCAGTTTAATGAAAATAAAAGTATGTGTATAAGAAGATAAAACATGTGTAAAAGTCATCTCCCAAACATAAGGCCAAAAAAACACATACACACCAAGGAAATGAACACATGTCTAGGGAAAGAGATCCTCTCCTAATCTATTCTACTAAGGTCACCTAATCAAGTGATCTGAATCCTTGAAATTTAATCTAACGACTAAAGTTATTATAACTTTTAAAGAAGCTTCTGTTTTTAACCATTAAATCAAATTTCAAGTATTCGGATGACTTGATTAAATGTCTTTAGTGGAAGAGTTTATGAGAGCATCTCTTTCCCATGTCTAGCATGTCGGGACTACTTTTTGTTTTGCATTAATTTAAGACAAAAATATTTAAAAAGAAGAACACTAGTAAAACTTTGTGAGAGATTTGTTCGAGAAGATCATCATCTAAGGGCAGAACGGTCTACCTAATCGAGCCCTGTGACTGGGAATAGTGAAGTGCCTGATCCTGCCCTCCTGCTCCGTCAAGTACCCCTCACAGAGGAATGCCTTGGAGAAGCTGTCCTCAACCACTCTATCCACATCATGCACAAACACATGAGTTTCCCCATCCTCCCTGTTCCTCCCCATCAGCCCCGCCGTGTATATGGCGCTCATTCTTCCCGGAGCTCCGTCGAAGTACCCCGTCGGCGCATCCACCATGATCAAATCCCACTCTATATCGTACACATCGCTCGGCAAGTTCTTGAGCGCCAACTCGCACTTTGAAAGCCTTGGATCCCCGACAGCCCTGCACTCTTCCTTCCTTCCCATCTCCATGAGCTTGTCCGCTTCGTGAACCTTGGTGTCGTACGTCACGTGGTAGGCCTCCAACCCCGGCAGCTTCTGTTTGATCTGCTCGATCCATGAACTGTCTTCTTCGAGGAAGACGGTTCTTCCGCCGTGGTTGAGAGCCGTCCACATGAGGCTGTCGAAGCCGAGGCCGAAGACTAGAAAGTTGCAGGGTGCTTTTTGGGAAAGGACCGCGGCGGAGACGGAGACTTCGTTGATGGTTTGTTGTGGGGTGACGTTTGTGGTCGCGTAGTGGATGATGGCGTGGGCGAGGGATGGTGGGGTTTTGGTGCATGTTGGGATGAAGGGCTGATCGCACGGTTGTTGTTGTTGGGGTTCAGAGGTTGAGATGAGATGGGATTGCGAGGAATTGGTGGATGAAGATGGTGGTGATGATGAAGAGAAGGTTGATCTGGTTATGAAGATGGTGAGGAGGAAGATGAGGAAGCAGCAGAGGAGGATGACCTTCAGATTGATGCCACATTGAAGTTTGGACCTCATGGTGCTTGATATGAGAGAGGAGGAGGAGGAGGCGCCGGCGGGTGGGGGTGGTTATTGGAGGAGATAAAATTGATATGGCGGTCTGAGGTTGTGTTGCTGAAGTTGGGGAAGAAAGAGAGGGGGAGGCGGGGGCTATATTGTTTGTTTCTGCTTTTCAGGGAAAGGTTAGCAAAGTAAGTATGCTTCAGCAAAACAAGAAAAGTTGGTATACATTAAATTAGGAATAATACTTTGTAGATCTTCATTTAAAAATTATTTTTGTAAAAAATTGAATATCGTTTTATCATTTAAATTTATCAAATAAATCAACATTTTATCATTGATATATTACTCAATACTTACATTGTTTTTTTGTTTAATGCTAGCATTTGCTTACATACTTTTTGTGTATGAACATATTTTTTTAGAAAATAAGAGGGAGAGAGAGAGAACATTGGGGAAGTGAAAGGTTTTTTTTTTTATTTTAAATATTAGAAATATTTTAATATCACATGTATGTACGTGAGATTTCAATAAAAAATAGTAAAATTTGGACATGTAAAATTATATAATTGTCCATCATTTTTTTTTGTGCAATAAAATATTAAGTTATCCTTTTATCATCTTTTTATTGACAAAAAAAATTCCATTGATTAATAGAGATATTTAGATAACTAAATGATATTTGAATAATTTTTTTTAAGAAATATCTTCAAATGACAGTGGTACCCTGGTACTTGAGAATTACTTGTCTCTTTGCGCCCAGCAACAGAAGTAATGATGCATATGAGAAGATCCAAAGGAACGAGAGATTTTTTAATATGACCGTCATACGAGGTGATACATCATATGTCTTTATATAAATGGTGTGTTATATATGTTAAAAGGTTAAAACTTAAATTAAAATTTTTCATCACTTACATAAAAACGCGTGGTGTACCATCCATATTCCCATCACAACTAAAAATTTCTCTAAAGGAACGTAGTGTGTACCTTCAAAGATGTCCCTAAAAACAAATTAGGTTACCCATTGTATTGCTTAGCCGAACTCTTCCTTTCTTTAGTGTAAAAAAATATCGATGTATTAAAAAAAATTAAAAAAAAACTTCACTTGTTTTTAATTTTCAATTAAAAACAAAAAATAAAAAATAAAAAATTGAAAGTTATTTTGTCTAGTTTTCAAAATTTGAAAATTTTAGTTTTTTTTTTTTGTCAATAATTAAGTGAGATTCTAAAACCTAACATTTTTAAACCCAAAAAATATAGGTTTTAATCCAAAAACAGTTTTTATCCTGTAACTTTTATGGGTTAAATTTTTAGCACGTGATTATTAAAGAATGAATTTACAATAATTTTTTCTTAAAGTAATAGAAAAAAATAGGTAGACTATCCTAATTTAATTTTATGAATATTTTAACCTAAAAATATTTAGATTTTGATAAATATTGAAAAATCACTAAACCGACACCATGAAACTCGTGAAACACTGTGAAAGAATATGAAACACATGAAAAAAAATTAATTACTTTAGCCATTGAATTTAAAATTTGGACTGTTAGATCTTTTTTTTACCATTAGATTTGATCATATTAAATCTTAGTTGTTGGATTCAATAAATTTATAAATATAAAACTTAATAAAATACACATATATAGTGGGTCAGCCCCACTAGCCCATGAAGAATTCGGACCTAAATTTGCCCCATAAATAAGTTTTAGGTTAAAACTCATATTTACTCCAAGAGTTAGATCAAGTCAGGAGGTACCTTTAAAACATAAAATTTGAGCCTTACTGAAGTAGGTCTAAAGGGTAAGGGGTGGGGAAGGCTCAAACCCGGATGAGAAGGGCCACAACGGTGCTTAATTTCTACTGTGGCTCTAGCTCTCCTCATACTAAATAAGTTTACAATTTTTTATTTTTTATTTTTAAACATCCAAAATTTAAAACTAAAAACTAAAATGCTGTCAAACAAGCTCCCGAGTTTTATTTTTATCACCACTCCAACTATTTTTCAACATAAGTCCCCCACACTATTATCATTGTTGTGGAGTTTGACCACCAAGCTTGGCTACACTCCTCTTTAAAAGGCTAAAAGTGTTTTCTAAATTTAAAAACTTACTAGTGTTTTTTAAATCATGAAAGTGACGTTATTAAGAAATTGATAAATACTTCTTCATAAAACACTTTCTAAGTCTTTCCAGCATTTCATTCTTTCATAATTCCATAACTTTTGTGAAGAAAAATTTCTAGAGTCGATAATCATGGATATAATTGCATGAATGGGACCCGGGTCATATATGTATTATGTACCGTCATTTTAAAGAGTAATGCTAAATTGATCACATATTTGTGTTATTTGTATAGATTTCTAATAGAGGTAAGAGTCCACCAATACATATGAGTCCTAATTTTATTAGATTAAATAATACAAATATGCAGTAGGAGTAGCATTTTTTTTAGTAAATTGATATTTTTACACTAAGGGGAGTGAGAGTTCGGATAAACCACACAATGGGCAACCTAATTTGGTATTGAATTCGTTATTCACGAGATTCGAACCTAAGACCCCTCACTTCTAAGTGAATAAGAATATCACCAGATCGTAGTAATGGAGAGAGAGAGAGAGAGAGAGAGAGAGAGAGAGAGAGAGAGAGAGAGAGAGAGAGAGAGAGAGAGAGGCAATGATTAGTTATTATCTTGCTCTCTAATTGAAATATTCATCTTAGAAGTGAAGCAAGTTGGGTTGGAGGCTTAATCTAGACGCAAAGGCCACCACTGCTATTTTGGTTGGTAGAAATAACATGGTTGGTGTATGGATGATTGCTGTTTGCTTATATATTTCTGACTTTTTTTTCTTTTATATAGGGGAACATGTGATGCTTTTGATTATCAATGTAGTAGTTATAACAACTTTGTCTAATTGCGACAAATATTGAATAGATGTAAGATTGAGAGATTTTTTGGTGTACTCGAAACATGAGTTGGTACATTACGTATTATTATGACATATGGTTTATCGATTTGTGTTTTGAGTATAAGAAAAAAAATTTAGTCCATTTAATTTAGTTAGTGATATTCTAGATTGAGATTTAGACGTCTGTGTGAATAATAGAAAATGGATGTGCTATTTACACATCATCTTTACGTCTCTTATATCCTTGTTAACTTTTGGTTATTGATTTTTTAGAATTTATTCGATTCAACTTTATTTAGTATTAATTTATTTTTTGGATAATGCATTGCTCTTTGCACTTTTTTTTTTTGGTAACAACATATTTGTATTTGTACACTAAGAGAATGAAAATAATAAATTATTATCAAACTCGACGCTATAAAAGTCATACTTAAGATCACTCATTTACAAATTAATAAAATATTATTAAACAGTAGTACTGAGTAACCACATTATTAATAAGAGACTTAGTAAATCCACGCATAATACACATGCGTATGTTAAAAACTATTTTTGTTTCCTGTACACTTTTTCTTGTTCTCAATGATACAAAGAAAATAGATGGTTTTAAACAATTTGAACCACAAAGACCTTGGAAATATTATTGTTCTCAAGGCTCTTTGATATTTTCAATCTTGCGTAAGAAATGGGATTGCCTAGCAGTTAAGACTAGTGGTAGATTTAGGCATTTTCTTTCAAGAGTTACTTGTAAGCAATCACGCTCTATATTCCGAGTACATTGAAAATCTCTCCAATGTTTGGAGCCAACAAGCATTCCACAAAACAAGAAGGCAGCAATATTACTGAGAATTATATTATTGATCTATTCCTCCTTTCATGTTTATGTACGAGACCAATTTAGATTTATATTACTTACTCTTGATCTATTCCTCCTCTCATGATCATGTACGAGAACAAATGGACATACACAACCCCATCAATTCATTTGATCAGACGGCCTTAAATTAAAAAGGATGGAGAATGTAACAAACAAATATCATACCTTAAAATATGATGGAAGGCTTTGGCGGCAGGGGTGGAGAATAGGGGCATGTATTTGATAATTTTTTAAAAGGAAAATTAATGAAAATAATTTGAAAACTTTGAATTTTAAAAATAAGGACCAAAAAAAGTAAAATAATTAGTACCAGGATTGATTTTTCTGTGTAAAAATATGATTTGTCGTTAAAGTGAACAGTATCAAAAGCTTTTCGTTAAAATTCCTTTTTTTAAATTTAAATGCATCTCACCTTGACGGTAATTGTGTAATAAGGTAGAAAAGACAATACGCATTACAAAATTATGAGTTTGAACAAAATTTTCCTGTTGCTTTTGTACTATAACATTAATACATGTATATCCAGAATAGACCACCTAGAGTGAGTGAAGACTGCTGCTGAAGCAAAAATAACAAAATAATCACGCTTACAATAAGGCCCCCGTGAGGAAAACAAAAATAAACCAGACTCGAACTTCCCTTTTGACAGTTTCAGCGAACAAGCGCCATGAAAAAGCACTCAAGCGCTCAATTTTCGGATGCCATGCGAATAGGGGAAAACCTACGTAGTAGCCTCTGAAAGAAAACATGTAAAGAGAGACACTGCCTCTTGCAAATGACTCGAGCGTTTGTCTTCAGGAATGGGAGCACTAAAAACGGTGTCAAAGCAACTTAACTGAACATCTCGTGTTGGTCCCTCGCCAATGTCGGATAAAAGCAAACTGCATATCTCGTCCGCCATCTTCGAATACACTACCCTGTTTGGTAAATATGTAAATCTCAAGATAACTGTAGAGCTAGCTACGAACAAAAATTAAAAATATCACAGAGTACTAACAAGCATGAGTTGGCTTAATAAAACCAAACAATTTTGCCTCAATCCATGCAAAAGCTCAGTCAAGGGTTGTTGAACGTACCTCACGTCAATTGGTAACCTGACACCCCAAACAGCCAAAGACTGGTTTAACTGACCAAGAAATTCCCTACAAGCAGAATTTCTGCTTTCAAGTGAATCCTGCAGCAAACATAACATGGTGCTGAGCATTCATTGAGAAAAGAAAGCAGAACTTCTGCTTTCTGACATGATAAACATCCTGTTGCATTTTTTCAATTACAGAAAGATTTAGCAATAAAAACGTTCTTCTTCTGCAGTCGCAAGTCACAACAATGGGGCTATATATCGTCTTTAAGCTATTTCCT